TCTATTTGTGCTGTATGTGTTGCCTCTAGTACCTTGTAGCAGAAATGTTCTCTCTTCCTAGAAATTGCTTCCTCTTACTTTGAATGTGCAAAACTCCTTTTTCTCCTTCAAAAGTCACCATTATCTCCTTTCCTATGAAGCTCTCTTAATCTCCTCAGCAACTGAGGCACCCCCGACTGTCTCTATTGCACTGTCTGTATTTCCTTTATAGCCATCAGCCTGTTGTGTTATACAGGTCAGAGCAGCTACTGAGTCTTTTAAGCCTATTTTAAAATATTTTAATGGAATGTATCTAATAATTCTAATACTATAATAATTTAGGAATACTATAATACCATTAATATATAATTAATAGCTAATACTTAACATAGTGCTTGCTAAGGACCAGGTATCCTTTTAAATTCTTAACATATGTTAAATTATTTATTCTTAATACAATCCTATAATAAAGGTATTATTTTTTATTATCACCATTTTATAGATGAGAAAACTAAAACACAAAAAGATTAAATAACCTGCCCAAGAGCACACTGTGAGTAAGTGATGGAGCTGATATCTGTGGTTTGGATCAGGAGTCCTTGCTCCTAACTTCCTCACTTTAATATGTCTCTATTTTTTGATACCTGTCACATAGAATGCTTTATATATTTTGATTGAAAGAATGAATTAAAACAGGGAATTTTGAGTACACAACCACACCCAACTGGAGAAAAACTCTGCTCTAAGATGGGGAAAATGTCCATTAAATATGCTCAATGTGTGGTTAAAATAGGGTTTTTAAAACATGCTCAATGTGTGATTGAGGCAGGCTTTAAAGACTCAACATTTTTTGTTGTTTATGGCCAAACTTGTGGTGGCATATCTAGAATGCCATCATTGTTTCTCTGAAGCTTAGCCAAATTGGATCAGACAAATGAGCAGCTCAAAAATGTCAAGTTAAGAGAGGCCAGGAGCCAGTAGTGGATGTCTAGAGAAAGTCCAAATTGTTTCATAATACTGAGTCTAAACCTCCAATGATTTCTGATGCACATTCTTTACAATACAGAACTTACTCAGTTTTGCCTTTAGAGACCTAAAAGAAGAATGGTTTTGGCAGGGACTATTAATCAATTAATGTGCATTGTTGTCCATAAGGATTTTAAAGTATAACTAGGAAGAGGAGACTAACTCATATGAATCAATTAAAAATAAACTAAACCTGCAGCTAATGTAAATTAGGGAGCCTGGATTACAAATGCAAAAGGAGATGAGAGAAGAAAGAAAAGTCTTCATGGAGAAGAATCTTAAACTGCAACTTAAGGATGTATCATGTTGGGTCAGGGACAGAGAAGGGGAAGAAGGTAGTAAGTAGCAAGGTTGCTTGACAGATTTTAGAAAGACAGCAAAAGCACTCACTCACCACGAAGGCAGAATTCTATATTTGAGGGCTACAGGTATTTGAGTCTGTGTTTGACAGTTAGTCAGTTGCCCGACTGTTTTGGGGACATATTTCACAGATGTTTCTCAGAGACAGTTGCAAAAAGGTTGTCTATCACCACTGACACTAATTATAATAACAGTTCTTTCCAAGGCCAGTATTTTGAACCAAAGTCACTCCATAGGTATTTTTATTTCCATCACTTTGAAACACTGCCACATTTTCTTTCTCTTAAACTAAGATTTCTTTAAAGCAGATATTAAATGAGCACAGATGGTGCAGGCAGGTTCCTTAGTGCTTGTTAACTAGATGGCAATTCCTAAATCTTCTCACCATTCAGGCAGCGAAAGGAGAGGCAGAAACAACTGATTAATAGTGACATAGCTTTACAAAGGGCTAAATAAGAAAAAATGGGCTTAAATCTTACTACGACATTTCTGCTAGACATATAGAAGAATTTCTTGATGGTCAGGGAAATTAAACACTAAACTAGGTTATCAGCAGAGCTAGTGAAATCTCTATTCTAGAAAATCATTGAACATTGAACAGACCATATGCTCCAAGGAGTTTGTTCACTGACTTGCCTGACTCAGAAGGAAGATTTCTTCGAATCCAAGCTTCTATAGTATGACTAGGTTCCACACTTTGGCTGAGAAAATGTGTACCCTTTTTTTACTGGTTATAGAATGCCATATATTCTGATCTTTACCTAAGAACTGTCCTGATATTTTTTATTTTTAACAAAGCTAATTCTCATATAGATAGAAACATAAATGTAGGTATAATGGAGCACATGTATATATGCACACATACTTTTGAATGCACAAAGCAATAATGTATTCATAACATAATATATATTACATCATTTAAATCACTTCTCAAAAAGCATAATTTCTATGGCACTTTCACCTTTGTTTTGTGTTTGAATCAATTGAATAAGTATTTAGCACTTATTTACCAAGCTTTGAGGCTGAGAAAGGGCTAGCTGATGAACAAAATATGACACCAAGACTGCTCTAAAGCATATTTTAGATAGAACCACACAATGTTGTAATTTCTGTATATCAAAATGATTGAATGTAAGTAATTATCATTTGGTTCAACTTAATACAACTTAATAAGGAGGAAATAAGACAAACATACCAAGAACAGTTAAATCAAGATAGAAGAGAATACGTGAGTGAACACTGTGTTGAGTATTAGAGACAAGATTGCTCAGAAGTTTAGAGAAGAGATCAATATGGCCTACCACAGTCTAGGTAATAAATGCTCATTGATCTGAATTGACTCAGATTATTTGTCCAGTTCTATTAAGAAACAAATCTCTTTTGGTTCTTTGAGATCCCATCTTTTTCTTCTTACTGGCCATCCAGTTACCAAAGTGAGTAATAACACGGCATTTGATTCAGAGAATCCTTCAACAAAGTATTTCTGTGGCAGACACTTGGGCTAACCACCTGGGGAGTACAAAAAGCAACACAAGACCTGATCTCTTCCCAAGAAGAGATTATAATTCCATTTATTAAATAAGACTGAATACATGAAACAAAAGAAAGAAGCATATGAATACTATTTAGTCATGTAATTCAGAGAGTGACACTAGAGTTTAGCAGGGGGAGGAATCACTGTAGACTAATGTGATCAGGAAAGGTTTCCAGAAGTGTAAATTACATGGGTCTTCAAGAGTAGATATGCCTTTAATTGCTAGAGTAAAGAAAGCAGTGTATTTGATGACCAAATCACCACAAAATCTGCAAGTAGTTCTTTTCTTAAATAAGGTGTACATTTTAAAATGCTATTTTTTTCTGAAAATGGTATCATTTTTCCTATGAAAATTCCCATTTAATATTCATTTATCCAGCTATGCTGCGATAAAATTCAGTCTAAGTTCAGTCACACTTTTCAGTGAACTTAATTTTTTACAGTGCCATATGACCATGAAAGTTTAGGTTCCAGAGAATAGTCTTTGATGGTATTTTAAAAAGAAATTGCATAGGATTCCAAATAAAGTTTGGCAGTCAGTAATGAAGGCAAAGAAGTAGAGTAGAGACTATCAAAATCCAATTATGAAGCAACAAGAAAAAAATTTTTTTTGAATGACTGATTAGATCGGGGTCATGAATTTACGATATCTGTTCTGGACTCAAGGTTGATACTAAGAGCCTGGGTTGTTAAATTGTTAGCAACTGTTATTTCAAAAGGTATCCATAATTACCTATGCTTCACTGAAGTTAGTCAGGACTGCCCTGAGATTTAGATATTCCATTATATTATGGAATAAAACATCAAATTATTTTATATATTTGTTTTTTAAATATCAATTTAAGTAAGACACTCAAACAGTAAGTGAGAGAAGAGACCATGTTTTCTACTGAGGCAAGTCAGAAATCCTATGCAGTGCAGGTCATGTTGCCCAACTGAGTTTCAATAATGTTTCTTTGAATCAATTACATTCTAATAACTAAGTTTGTATATCCTGATTATTTCATTTCCAATTTCATTTTTTAGTTTACATCCTTCTATGTACCCTTTAGATTTTCTTGCCAATCATGTAAATTTCTTTACAAACGTGTTATTCTCCAGCTACTCTCTTAGGAAATACTTGAAAACAAACATGAATTTATCCTTACATATGTAAGTATGGAAATAAGTTTTGGCTAAATTCTTGTACAAAACAGTCACCCCAAGGTGAACACATAATGTTTACTGGATATCCTTGTTTTTTTTTAAAATGAGTTCACTGCTCCATTAATGTTTCTAAGACAGGATACAAAGCGTATGTAATTTTGAAATACAGAACTTCGTTAAAGAGGAAGAATATTAAGTTGACCCAATTTTTTAAGGATGAAAGAAAGAAATATGTTCCAAAAATGATCTAGGCCCAACATCACCAATATATTCCCATATTACAAAATTCCCATATTCACAAAATTAAAGAGCCTCTGAAGATAAAAATACAGATGCCAGCTGGAGGCTTGAAGTTGTACCCAGACACCTCCACTTATTAACTGCACCTTGTGCAGATTGTTTAACCTCTATCAGATCTTGTTTCTTTATCCAGAAAATGGGCTGAATGGCTATACTATTTCATATGGTGATTAAATGAGATAATAAATATAAAACATGTAAATAGTACCTGGACTGGAGTAACTACTCAAAAGTTAGCAGTTATCATCCTTGCCATTCAAAACATTGCTGCTGTTCTTAACAACTCCTCCTAGTTCTGGAGTATTTTCAGTGTCTATTTGGGAATAGGAGAAGAGAACAGGGGATTACAGAGGAGGTTTTGGAAGCTGAAAAGATTGAAAAATCTATTGTGATGGTTGGCTAGCTATGAATAAAAAGTATTTGTGTTCCAATATGGTTTGCATCCTTCAATATTACTTGAAACTGAGTTTATGAAAAAGTAGGTTATTAATAACACTGTATAGTTGTCTAGTGCTTTGAATTCTCTTTTCCTAAGGAACTTGCTCATTTTTTTGACATGAAAAAGTTATGAGGAAATAATAAAGTACATGGTATTTGCTTAGTATTTACAGGTACAATGTGTTTACAAATCTATTATTTTCTTTGCATTTTACAGGTAATGTTAAAAGAAGTGGCACATGAGAGAATACCTAGCACAGTGCTAGTTACTAAGTTCATGACGAGGATCAACAATAGTTTCTTGCCTCCCCATCTAGATGGAAGTCAGAGCCCAGTGCTCACACAGAAGGTTCTGCATGGTGCCCCTTGTTGTGTGTGGATGAAACACACCTTCTCCCAACTTGGGGCTCATGGATATTCTAAGCTCACAGACACCACAAGTTTATTTTTTAATTAAAAAAGAAAAGTTTAAATTTTCTTCTAGAAAAAGAAAAGTCCAAACCTTTTTCACAGGAAACCCAAAACTGAATTAGAAACCAGCACCTCATGCACACAGCTATCTTAGTATTTTTCCATTTTAGAAGTGAAGCAAACGTGGCCCAGACTAAATTAAAGGGAGCATAGTGGAGATGAAAGCTGTACTCAAAAGGCACATTTACCTTCATTAAGTTATTTTTTTATTCAAACCATTTCAGTTCATTTTGGGGAAATCAAAAGAACTAACTGTTCTTCAAAATATAATGCATGCATATAGGTGCAGAATTCTTATACCTTTGTGGATATAAGCAAATGAATAGATATCCCAGAATGCAGTAATTCAACATAATTCACAATACCTCCATCTTCACATAACAATAATACTTTCTAAGAATGTATCGTTAATTGTTATCAACAACAAACAAAAACATTTGTTGGGTACTGATTATCAGAAAAAATATTTTTGATTAATAATCATTTTCAAAATATATTTACTACTCCAAAACACTGATTGCATCTCCATATCAACCTGTTAGCATAGAACGTATTATATTAGCCTTATGCCTTCTTTCCTCAGCATATAATCTGAATTCCTGATTCTGAAAATTTGTTCATACATTCATTTATTCAATTCACATTCTTTCTTCACCCTATACTAGGCACAGTGTCATTTTTTAAAATGTCTGGCCATTCAGGTCAGAACCTTTTAAACCCCATTTCGGTGAAGTTATTTCACAGAATAAATTTGCTCACTGCTATCTGCTAGAGAGTGTTTTCCGGTAATATCAGTGCTTATCAAGTTTGTGCCTAAACTTTCATATCAGCACACCAATATCTGATAGCAGGTAATGACGTGATGACCTTTCCCTTGCTAAGATTTCCTGAGGCTTATTGCTGAAATAAACCATAGCCTTGGATATACCTTTCCTTTAGGCAGAAAGAAACCTAGAAACAGATCTAAGTCTGTTGGAGGCATGAAAGAGAAAATAACTTGAAAATAGAGGTCAAAGAATGGATGAAATATCTTGAGAAAGACCTGACAGAGTCACAAAAGATGTAGTCATCTTGTGATTCCTTAAGACCTGACCCCTGGTTGGATAGATTTTTAAGGGTTGGGGTATCTCTGGTGCAGCTATAAAAAGCTGAGGGTCCATTTTCCAAACAATGTCACTCACAGGATTTTACTGCAAAGTTGAAATTTATAATTGCAGGGGAAATCATGCCATTACTACACTGAACTTAAATCCTACACTGAGCACAGAAAGGGAAGATTTGGTGTTAATAATGTCATTCATTCCATGATGATTTATGAATAGAGCAGTAGTTCTCAAAATTTAGTACACATAAGAATCAGAGGATTTGTTTACATGCAGATTTCTGAGTCTTACTCTGAGGCTCTCTGATTTCATTGGTCTGGGGCAAACAGAGAATTTGCCTTTCTAACAAGTTCACAGGGCAAGCTGATACTGCTGGGCTCAGGGATGACACTTTGAGAACTACCAGAGTAAAGTGACAAATGGATTTCATTAGAAATTGATTCCAACCATAAAGTAGGAATCAATTTGGAAAGGTTGGAAAGATCATTAATTTTGAAGCTTGGAAGACCCGGACTAGATTTTTAGATTTGTCATGTTTCAGCTGCTGACAACCTTAACCTCAAAGAACCATAGTTACCTCACAGCAAAATTAAGATTGTAGTATCTAATGTCAAGGGCTATTGTTATAAGAATTAATACATTATTTTATGCAAAAAGATTTCAAAACATTTTATTGTGTGTGGTTGTGATGATTCTATTTTTTTAATAAAACATGTGTCCATTAATCAATTGTTAAAAGGGGTGGAGCTAGTAAATTTACCTAGAGTGACTGTAGCCCTTTGCCACAGTGGCTGGGCAAAGAAGTAGCTGTTACCCTTCCCAGCTACCACAGTCTGCTGCTTCTTATATGTTTGCAAATCTCCCTAACACTTTCAGACTGAAAGATCATCCCAACCACAATAAAATCTCATGTCTTCTTGCTGTTACTGAAAGGCAAAGGCAAAGGTCCATTACATTATTAATAACCTCTCTTTTCGCCTCAGTTGTCATGCAAAGCCCAAGCATCCTAGATCTTCAGTCATCACACAGACATTTATTCCCACATGGCTTCAAACATATTCTAATATGACCTACCTCCCATTCCCACCTCTCCCCTCCAAATCCTTTTTACTCTGCCCTATGAGATTCAAGGTCTGTCATCAACAGACTTTTCTAAATCCTCAAACTCTTCTCCAAACAGAGTTTTATGACTGCAATAGGGCTATCTCCTGAAGTCTTGGGTTTTTCTGGGTTTTGTTCCCTTCCACACTCACTTAATACACCCCAAAGCTTAGCCTAAGCTTTTTGCTAAGGGGTATTATGCTACCCATTTTTAAATCCAAATAAATTCTCTCCTTTCCATTTTCACAAACTCTAATATCTTTAGCTACATGTGATCAGATTTTACCTACGTCACTGCTCTTTGTTTTTGTTATTTCTCTGTCCTCTCCCTTGCCTTAGTCTGTTTTGTGTTGCTGTAACAGAATGCCACAGGCTGGGTGATTTATAATGAACAGAAATTTATATGGCTCACAGCTCTAGAGGTTGGGAAGCCAAGAGCATGGTGCTGGCATCTGGTGAGGGCTTTTGTGCTGTGTCATCCCATGTCAAAAGACAAGACTAGTAAAAGTGAGAAAGCAAGAAGGGGGTGTTCTTGCTTTTATAACAAACCCACTCTGTGAGACGTAACCCACTTGCTCAATAATGACATTAATCCATTCATGAGGGGAGAGCCTTCATAATCTAACCACCTCTTATCAGGCAACACTTCCCAACGCTATTGCACTGAGGATTAAGTTTTCAACACATGAACTTTGGTGCACACATTCAAATCATGGCATCCTCATGTACCCACATAAATGTCTTTCTTTCCACGTATTTCTGCCATTATTCTTGAGACTTCAACACTGAAGCATGTTCTCTGACAAATAGAAAATCTCTTGACCACCTTAGAAATAAAGGTTACTTCCTCTACTCCAACCCAGCCACCTACTGACATGATTGCATGATCAGCAATGATAATGCATGTCAAAAGTTATAAACCATTTCCTGGTCATCCCTTTCTTTTTTGTCCTGTTCATCTATTCTCACTCATATCCAGCACTAAAGTTCTCCAAAAAAGAGTAATAATAATAAACAACTTAAATTTTTAGACTTTCTGAAGGAAGGATGGTTTCATCTTCTTTTTTGATATTCTCTGGGCACCTATGGCAGCGGTTTGCAGAAAGAAAAGCCTCAATTAGCACACAATGACTCAGCCTTACACAATTCTCCTCAGTGTTTAATGGGAAAAAAAAATGAAAGCCGAAAAATATGTTTATCTTTTCAACTACAGAAATTGAGAAATCAGATAAATTTTTCCCTGGCTATATGTCCCTGTGAAAGAAAGCTGGAAAATAATAAATATTTCTATTTATTATGGAAATAATATAATAAATACTATATTTATTATATTATTAATATAAATAGGAAAAAAACTATTATTTCTAGGAGAAAACAGGAAAGATACATATTCTCAACTCATTTCTCTCCACCCTACCTTCCACTCCCTTCACAACATACTCATACACACACAAATGCAAAATAATAGGCCCTAGTTGAATTGGACTACCCTCATACAGATTACCTGTGGACAAAGTAAAAAGTAAACACTTTAGGTTCTTGAATCTCCGCAACTTGCTTTCTTAGACAAATCCTACTAGACTGAATAGTGGAAGTGATGTGCAGCTTTTCTTGTTTTAACTCAGCAATCAGCTCTTTAAAGCATATATATTTCTTAAGTTCAGTGACTTAATTGCAATAATTCCACACATAGAAATGAAAGTTTCAATGCTAAAAGAGGAAGATGACTCTCCTCTTGAGCTTATACCAAGTACAGGACCTATAGCCTTGTTCTGGAAAAAGTGGTAATATAAATAACATGGGAAGAATTACAATGATTGTTCCTTTGGTTGAACCATGTGGATATCATTGGAAGGACCAAACCATATGGTGTATGGACAAGGAAGAGCTCAGCCTCCTTTCTGGAGATGGTGCAGATGGAGGCTTTGCACATTTCCAAGAGGGTGATTGATGATAGTAACATGCCCTGTTTTATTACCACCTAATTCCTTTCCACTTTTCAGCAAAAACAAACAAACAAGAAAACAGAATATGAACACTAGAGCAAACTACCTTAAAATTACAATTTCTGGCTGTGAATATTTTAGAGCTATCTTGATTCTTTAGAAAACATTTGGAGGGAGTTGCTCCTTTTTTATATAATATTTTAATATATTTTTAATATAATTTTATATATTTTTATAAAGACAGTGGTTAGGATAGTGGGGGGAGAGATAATAGAGACTTAATAGAAATACTAATAGCTAATAGAAATACTAGAAAGTATATTAGTATAGAAATACTAATAGTAATAGAAATACTAATAGCTAATAGAGACTTAATAGAAATACTTAGGTATGGGACTACAATCTCTATGGAAAACAGTATGGAGATTCCTCAAAGCAGACCTACCATTTGATCCAGCAATCCCACTACTGAGTAGTTACCTAAAGGAAAAGAAGTCATTTTATCAAAAATATACCTGTACCCAAATGTTTATTGCACCACAATTCACAATTGCAAAGATGCGAAATCAATATGTGAGTGGCTTAACAAAATGTGGTAAATGTATATTATGGAATACTGCACAGCCATGAAGAAGGATGAATTAAGACCTTTTGCAACAATTTAGATGGAACTGGAGACCATTATCCTAAGTGAAGTATTAAATAATGGAAAAATAAACACCACATGTACTCGCTAATAAATTGGAACTAACCAAGATACACACATGTGCACAGAGGGAAATAAAACTCAGTGGAAATCAAGTGGGGGTGGTGGAGGATGGGATGGATGAACACCTACCTAACAGGTACAATGAACACTATCCTGGTGATGGGCACACTTATAGGCTTGACTCAAGCACAAAAAAATTGATACATGTATCAATTGTGCTTGTACCCCCATAATATTTTGAAATTTAAAAAAAATGTAGAGAAAAAATACCTAGGCAGACAAATCCTTGATGATCATATTTTGTCTGTTGTATAATAGATGATCAAGGTATGTTCTAGTGATATAGACTGGCACTCATTGCTGCCCGTAACTATCGAAGCCTTTGTTGGATTGAAAGAAACAATATTTGTGAAGAATTGCTTGAATATATCACAGTCCATTCATTCCTAGGATTTACATAGATCAATAGTGAACTACACATCTGGATTGCAGGGCGTTGCTTCTGCATTCTCCCCATCTTCCCATTATTACCACTACTACCACCACAGTGAGAGGGTAATGTGCCTCTACTGAATCATGCTTTGGTACATT